TGACCTCACTGGCTCGTACAATGAAGTAGAGGTTTCTATAATAACAATACACTGATTGTCTAACTGGCTGAATGACTGACTGACAGACATATTTGACGGGTAGACTAACTGGCAGGATGGCTGAGTGACAGACTTCAATGGCTGGTTGAGCAACTAACGATTACTATACTTACTGATTTTCTGACGACTCACAAACTTCACTGGCTGTTTGACTAACTGTACAATATAATTATACTAACTAGACACGCAATTTCATACTGAATAACTGACCAATTGCCTGTATAATAGACTGGTTTACTATCTGGCTGACAGACTTCAATGGTTCACTTGATTGTTGCTGATAGACATAATTGGCTGGTAGACTGACTGAAGATTACTTACTAACTATAAACTGACTGACAGATCAGACTAAATGACTGCACGCAGGATTGCCTGTATGATAGATTGACGTACTGGCTAGCTGACAGACTTAATTGGTCTTACTGCCAACTAACTATATACTGACTGGTTACTGAATGACTTACCGATTGCCATTATAATACTGGGTGGGTAGCTGTTTGACTAGCTATAGATTATTGTAGCAACTATACTCAGATTGACCTACTGAAAGACTGACCAGTTATTACCTGAATGACAGAATTGCCGAGTGACAGGGTAAATGAATAATTGAACGAGTAAAATGATCAGTTATTAGACCTGAAAATTGAAGAACAGATCAGTGGTTGAAAGGCTGACCGACTGGGCGAATAAATACATGACTTAACGGTTCACTGACGGACGAACAGACTAGGTTAAACGTGACTCACGTTTCTTACAAACGGACAGACTGGACCTTTAACTATATAAATGAAACACTGACTGATCCAATGGTTAAGTGGTTGACTAAATAAATTAAATGGTTGACTGACTGACTGACTGCCTGACTTACCAATTGACTCTTAGAGACTCGTGACTGGTTGACTGGTTGACTGGTTGACTGACTGATCGAATAGCTTTGAACGAACAACCGGTTAACTAACTGATCTTTAAACTGATTGACTACGTTACCGAATGTCTCTAAAACTCTTGACAAAATTACATGCTAGCTGTTTGAGTAAATGACAGACCGACTCACTAAACAACTCTAAATGACAGAATCATTTACTGACTATTTGACTGATTTATTGGTAGTACTGAATGGACCAACAACTGATTGCTCTACTGAATGACTCAATAACTGTTTGACTGTAATAATAACTGTTCGACTTGCCAATTGATTCTCAGGTAGACTGAACATAATTCGGCTCAATGATTGCCCGATTTACTGGGTAACTGAAAAGTTGAGAGAAAGAATGATGTAAAAAAGTATTGACGATTGATTGAACATAACTCAGACTCGGTGAATAACTATATATCTCTCACTGAATAACTGGCTGACTCGACTGACTGACTGATTTGCAAGAGAGTTGATCAAAAGATCGATAGCTGGACTGAGAAAAGACTTGATGATACTAACTGACTGACTAAACGAGGATAAGATTAATAATAACCAAGCTTGACTGTTTGACGAACCTCTTGACTAACCAGTGACGACAGGCGGCATGCATGACTGGAACCACTGAACAAATGGCACATTGACTCGGAAAATTATTTTACCCTAACGTATGTCGTACAACTGACGCACTGAGTACCTCTGGACATTTGTGACGTGAATATATGAATTTTCTTCAACGGAATCTCTGACCGCCTAACAGGTTCGTTTACGATATCGCCTGGCAATTTACTGTGACTTACCACCTGACTGACTGTTTGACGTCCCTTTAAACAATTAAGACTGGCAGACTTACTGATTGATAACTTAAGCACAGTACTGACTGTCAAAGTGAAGCTGTCTAAGGAATGACATGCTGGCGTCTGGTTTGCTTACGAAAACCAAATAAATCATTTAACATCACTAACCTGACCTCCCTGACTATTTGACGACAATTTTAACTTTTAAAAGACTGGTAGACTTACTCATTGATAACTTAAACACAGTACTGACTGCCAAACTTATGACTATCTGACAAGTGACATGCAGGCGTCTTCATGGCGCTCTAAGGTTAAAGGAATTAAAGATTAAACTAAAAAATTGACACACAGCTGGCCAAATGACCGAACTGGATTAGTAAGAGTTTAAAATAAAAGTAAAAGTAAATCAAATGACAACAATCTTACATACATATCTTAACTTCCGACTGACTACTGTCATCAAAACTCTTGGAAAAGTTGATAAATCCTGATGACTGACTAGATTCATCAAGTAACTAATGACTTAATGATTGATGGTCTAGCTTACCGTTACAGAACAACAAACGAATATCCGACAACAAGAACTACCAATCCAAGTATTTAAACAAACTTGACAAAGATTTTTCCGAATGATTAAGGCCAAAATAAGGCAGAAGGTAGTATTGGGCTTTGTCATGTGGAAAAGTTGGTGTGCCTTGACATAAATGTGTGCATGCTATATTATTACTGAGCTGGTCTGCCAACAGACCGACCGACTGCTACGATAAACTGACTGCATTATTAGCTGGTCTGCCAACAGACCAACTGACCTGCTACGATAAACTGACTCATTATTAGCTGGTCTGCCAACAGACCGACTGACTGCTACGAGAAACAGACTGCATTAATGGCTGATCAGTCCACAGACCAACTGACCGCTGCGATAAACTGACTGCATTATTAGCTGGTCTGTCAACAGACTGACTGACTGCTATGATAAACTGACTGCATTATTAGCTTATTAGCTGATCTGTCAACTGACCAACTGACTGCTAGGATAAACTGACTACATTATTAGCTGGTCTGTCAACAGACCGACTGACTGTTACGATAAACTGACTGCATTATTAGCTGGTCTGTCAACAGGCCGACTGACTGCTACGATAAACTGACTGCATTATTAGCTGGTCTGCCAACAGGCCGACTGACTGCTACGATAAACTGACTGCATTATTAGCTGATCTGTCAACAGACCGACTGACTGCTACGATAAACTGACTGCATTATTAGCTGGTCTGTCAACAGGCCGACTGACTGCTACGATAAACTGACTGCATTATTAGCTGGTCTGTCAACAGGCCGACTGACTGCTACGATAAACTGACTGCATTATTAGCTGGTCTGTCAACAAGCCGACTGACTGCTACGATAAACTGACTGCATTATTAGCTGGTCTGTCAACAAGCCGACTGACTGCTACGATAAACTGACTGCATTATTAGCTGGTCTGTCAACAGACCGACTGACTGCTACGATAAACTGACTGCATTATTAGCTGGTCTGTCCACAGACCAACTGACTGCTACGATAAACTGACTGCATTATTAGCTGGTCTGTCAACAGACCGACTGACTGCTACGATAAACGGACCGCATTATTAGCTGATCTGTCAACAGACCGACTGACTGCTACGATAAACTGACTGCATTATTAGCTGGTCTGTCAACAGACCGACTGACTGCTACGACAAACTGACTGCATTATTAGCTGGTCTGTCCACAGACCAACTGACTGCTACGATAAACGGACTGCATTATCAGCTGGTCTGTCAACAGACCGACTGACTGCTACGATAAACGGACCGCATTATTAGCTGATCTGTCAACAGACCGACTGACTGCTACGATAAACTGACTGCATTATTAGCTGGTCTGTCAAAAGACCGACTGACTGCTACGATAAACTGACTGCATTATTAGCTGGTCTGTCAACAGGCTGACTGAGTGCTGCCAAAACACTGAGTACTTAGTAAGAAACTGTGTGACAGTTATTAACCTTAAGTCTGTAATGGGCGATTCCAGAAAATATCCATACCATACCACGGACGGCTTTTAGGATTTCCGAAGGGGAGGGGGGGTTCACGATAATGGAATTCTGAGGGCATGGGGGGTATTTACGATTGGAAATCCGAAGGCATGGGGTAACTCCACAGGTGGGATTTCTGGAGTAGAAAGTGTAGAGTGAGTTCCTTGAAAACGCTATTGTTGTGGACTTTTGTAGTTCGTAAATAAACCACGAACGTATGACCGCGGAAGCAAAAGACAAGCATCGATAGATCAGACACGTGTTTACACTCATAACTTATAGAAGTGAACAGTAAAATGTGGGTTTCACATTACCCTTGATGAATTTCTTGTCATATGAAAAAAAAAATGGAATATGTATCTTACTGCTTGCAAGTTTCTTGTTACTCCCATCCGATGAACAGTGAAAAACTCTCACCAGTCCCTGGCTTCCAAGGAACGCCTGTCAGATTAGAACACTTTTCGTGCACACTACATGACCTATAAAAGGACGCAACACGCCTCGACGGTATATTTGACCACCGAAAGATTTTAACAGTCTGAATTTGAGCTATTTTGCTTTGTAAACGTCAAAACAGCACAAGAAAACAAAGAGGAGTAAAATTGCCGTTAGTGGTGTTTATTTTTATTGCCAAATTCGGACCTAAAAAGGAGTTTGCACAGCCTGTCTACTAGCGGTAGGTTAGAGTCTGAAAGCTTGTCGCCTGGCGCCGCTAGATCACAGCCTTGAGGAGGCATAAATTCATGTTCGTTTGTTCATATAGGCGTTGCAAATGCGTTGAAAACGTACTTCCAAAAAAACGGAAATTCTGAAGGGGAGGGGGGGTTCACGATTATGGAATTCTGAGGGCATGGGGGGGTAACGCATTTTGGAATTTCCGAAGGCACGGGGGGGATAAAACATGGAAGCCGTCCGTGGTTGGGTATGGATATTTTCTGGAATTGCCCAATACTTGCTTACTGACTAATGCAAGCTGTCACCAAGGTGCACGAAGGGCTACTTAAACTGACTGTCCACAGACCAACAGATTGTATGAACTAGACTCACAAGTTAAAAACCTAAATTTGCCAGCGTATAAGGAGATTGAAAAGCTGACGTTTATCAACGATTTGTTAAGAGATAAATGGCTACAATACTGCAAAAGACAAACTGACAGTGACTGTGTAGCATACTGACTCGTTTTGTATTCTAACGGTTAGAACGTACAATGGACCTTCTGATGACGAAACGGCCTCAAGTAACTTTGCCATTGACGGAGCTTGTGTGACATTAAACTGGACTAGACAAACGTGTGAAAAGTAAAAGTCCGTATCATGAATATTACTCTGTAAACTACAAAAATATATTAATATATAGAATGACCAATCGACTGTCGTACTTATTGATCTCACGGAATGTAGACTAACCACTTAGCTAACACAAGGTCTGACCTTAGTATTCAAATGACTAGAGAACGGAAAGGAATGACTTATTGACTTGACTACTGAACTCATGGATTGCTGACCACCAGTCAGCTGACTCATGGTCTGACCTTTAGTTGACGAACTAAAATGCTTGCCCGGGTTGATAATAAGTTGTTGGCAACCCAGGAAGTTGACAAACTCGCATGCTGAACTGTTTTCCGAATGATCCATATGCAGGAGCTTTTAATCCCTTAGGTCATAATGGAATGCCGGGCTGTTTCATTTTTGCGACCAACAAATTTGTTTTGTGGCTGACAAATATTTTTACTTATTTACTATCAAAAAAGTTGATATAGTAGGTTTAGAAGCCTGACTGACGGCCGATTGGCTGCTTTGAATAGTCTTGGATACTGACATCCAGAGGGGAAAGTTTACTCAACTTCAGATCAGAATTTTTCATCTTAACACAGCCTGGACTGATGAACTGACTTTTAACAAGAAGAACAACTCTGGAAATGACTACATTGACCGTGTCTGTGATAATCAAAACATTTCTGACCATAAAAAAAAATGCAAGCACTAAGAAATTGAAGAGTCGCAATCAAACAATAAACCTACCCGGGCAGTAGGAACAGACTGATAGAATGACAATAGCAAGCAACTACCATAGTTGTATAGGGAATAGACAGGCATACACTTGGCGCGGATAGACGGAGAGACCGAACGAAAAAATAAAGAACAATCACACAGACGACAGCTGTACAACGAAACCTTACCTTGATGACAAAAAAACTGATTGACATAAAATTGTAAATCGATAACTGCGGATTGGGTTACTATAACTGAAGCAGACAGCACTGACACACAGTTAGGTGGACATGCAGACTGACATACCGTGACAGACAAACAGACTGAAAAACAGACAAAAAGACTGACAGACATACAGTTGGCATGGATTCACAGAGAGACCGACTGACAAACCACGAACAATCAGACAATCAAACATACAGCTGATTAACAGAAAACTGTTAATCGATAACTGCGGCAGATTGCAGAGCTAGAACTGAAGCCGACAGCAACTGACACACAGGTAGCTAGACAGACAGACTGACTGACAAACGGACTAACAGACAGACTTGACAGACAAACAGAATAACTGACAGACAGGCTTAGGTACAGACTTGACAGACAGACAGACCGATAGAAACACCGCAAGACAGACAGAATGTCTGGCAGACTGACAGAGAGGTTGAAGGACAGACTTGACAGACACAGGCAGACTGACAGACCGGGAGACAGACAGAATAACTGACCGACAGACAGACAGAAGAACAGTAACAGAGGTAGACGGCAAAAAAACATAGGGGCCTGTAAAAGTCACACTTAACTATAATTGGTGAATTGGTAACCGACTCTTTGTGGTCAATTTGTACTCTACCTGGACAAAACATTAGAGACAATAGAGTTATAACATTCTATTAAACAGGTTGACATATAATGCGGTTTTCACAAAATGAGTGAAACCCTATGTATAGTCTAAAGGTGCATGCTCTTTAAAAGTACTCAAAAGGTCTAGGTTACTCTTTTACAATATACTGCAAAGTACACTTTTATCATTAAGCATGCCATTGGGAACTGTACATGCCACGGTTTTGTTTAAGAAAGGCGTCCTAGCTTCGTTCTAAAAGCTAACCCGACCACAAGTAGATTTCACTGTCTTTCTTAGAGAAATAACAAAGCAGGATTACTAAAAATCAAGGTCTTGGGACGTAGATACGCGACGGGGGTTTAACTTTTTTTTCCTATGTAAACTTTTACTGAGATCAATTGGGCTCACTTTTACTCGGTTTGGTGAAAGTGCGACAGTGTGAACAAAATAAACTGATAATGGGGAGGCAAAGCGACGCTTTTTTCAGCAATACCATTGGTTCTTCTTATGACGGGCTGTTTTGCATCAGTGCGGAGTAGACTCACCCTCCCTGTTTAAGACTGTTTAACGGGTGTGATAAAGAAATTCACAGGGTTTGTAACGGAAAATGACTCACTTTACGTAGTCTGAAAAGCTGTTACAATCATCATCGTCATCATCATCAACAACAACATCATCAAGATCATCATCATCTTCATGATCATCTGCAGCAGCAGCAGGGGATATCATGATTATCACCATCATCAACGACATCATCATCCTCATCATTATCATCTGCAGCGGCAGCAGGGGATATCATGATTATCACCATCATCAACGACATCATCACCAACATCTCCACCACCACCATGATCATCTTAATGGTCATCAAAAGCAGCATAAACACCACGTAAATCATCCTCGTCTCTGATCACCAGCTTAATCATCAGCTTCAACAGCACCACTAGCAACATCAGCGTCATCATCGAGTTCAATAGCAGCATCATCTTCCCTTTCATTAACCCTTTAAGCCCCAATATCCACATTAAAAATTCTCCACACTGATCTCTATATATTTCCTTAAAGAATGAGTTGAGAGAATTTGATAAAAGATCAAAGCATTTTCTCTTAGGTGATCATTTTATTAATTCTCATATTCTAATCTCTTGACAATCTATGTCTATCGTTATGAGAAAATTGATGTTGGTCACTATTGGGAGTTAAAGGGTTAAGACATCATCAGCACTGACCATCATGACCATGTCGTCGTTATCATTAGCAGCAGAATATTTATAATCATCATCATCGATAATATTATTATTAGTTTAAAGATTGAAGCCAATTAATATCAAATAAAAATATAGTACAGCAAACCTTGATCCTAAATGCTATTTAAAACTGAGTTAAATGCAATACATGACTAACATCACTAATTTGATAGGCTAAGAACTTACTTCTAAGCTAATATAGAATGGAATGTAACTGTTAAGTTAATGGTTATTTGAATGAAAAAAGAAGACCGAATTGCCTTTTTCTTGTATTACCGATAAGCTGACATTAAGACACACTGACTGACTAAAGTTCCGCTGAACTACTCACCATGGAATTGTGTGACCTGTACCACCGTCTCTACAAAAATGACTCACGCACCCGTAATAACAGTGTATTGACTTAGCCGCTAACCAGAAAACAGACCTTTATGCAACGAAATGACAAATTTTTTATCATTAACTGCAATAGGCCCTTTGCAACTAACGTGGTAAAAAAGGAAACAACCACGCTGGAAAGCCACCAGGTTCGCTACTTGTCACCCGAATTCGGCTACGTCCTAGTTCGCAACAAATTCTCTACATACATGTATTACATTGTACTACTTCCTGTAAACCACTGAAAATTTGATATTCCCTTAATCGCTACAGAAAAAAAAATCTTTTAACATATATCTCGTTCTTTCAAGCTTGCCCCTTCACGGGCACAAGTTTTGGACTTAATGCCAAAACGCGGAGATACGAATATGAAGGTATCGAAACCCTTGTAAAGCCTTACTCTCCAGCATGGCAGTTTTGTACCACGGGGATAACTAGCTGCAAAGGGCCTATTATAGGCGAATTCATGCATGGACGGGTAGAAGTCAGGACCCTAGGAACGAGGATGGACAATGAGCCGCAAGTTCTCATGATAAAACTCTTGGGAGAAGAAAGGAAACCAAGCCAAGTAGAATTGAAATAGAAAATCGATATCCAATATAACCCAGTAATAACGGAGAAAACATAACAATATTGTTACACAGCGTATTTTGGTAAAGAAATAAAACTTCAAATTTGATTACGGAAGGTTCATAAAGAACTTTTATTTGGACTACTATTTCACAGTTTAGTGTCATTAAAGACTTGTTCGTCTTGTTCGGAAGCAAGCTGCAGATGACTCAGATCGGCGGGAAGTGATGTCACATCACTAGCGGCAATTCTATCATTACTTCGTCCCGCGTATTTGCTTCTCATCTCATCTACGACCCGATGTAATGACCAACAAACTGTCAAATGTTGTTTAAAGTCAGGGATTCTCAATGCGTAGATAATTGGATTGACCAGAGAGTTGAAATAATTACGAATGACTACGATATTATATACCTTAAGGTACAAAGATTCCATGTATCCCCATCAAATACGCTGTGACAATTAGAAACGGGAGCCAAGAAAGCACTGCCGCAGCAGAGGGTTTTTATTAGGCGTCGGTTTTGGTAAGCTCCGTTTTGCTGCAAAAGGAGATGTTTCCCATTTGATACTTTCTCCAGATGCAAATGTTGCAACCACATAAGGTGAATATAAACATCAAAAATAATATCACTGAAAAATAACAACTTGCTTGGCTTGAAATTAGGTTTGAAGATGGACGTAGATAGCAGTAGAAAGGGCAGTGAGTGTCCAGATTATGGTTATGACAATGGCGTAGGCCCTTGTTCACAGTGTTCGATGTTTTAATGGCCAGTAGACGGCGTAAAGTCTTTCACAGGATATAAAAACTACAGAGACTAACGAGGCCTGTAGGAAGATGAGATCAAAGTAATCGTAAAAAGGCCCAATAAATGCCAAAACATCTTGTATGATAGAGTCCATAGTTTTGGATAACCAACAGCTCATAACATCATATCAGCGAACGCTATGTTTACAACCAGAAACAAAAATCATACATTACACACGTAAATTACAGATAAGCAGGTTATTGAATAATCCATATATAATTCTGGAACAAACTAGGTCAGTGCAAGGTTACTAGGCAATTAAAACACCGATATAACGCGTGCAATTTGTAGCAACCAAATAAATCACTGGAAACGTCATTTTAGGTTTAAACGTTGACTTTAACAGATGTATTTGACTAAGCTTGTAATAAAAAAATGCATGTCGTCAATCGTTCATTTTCGGTTGGTCAATATTTTATTTGGGTAAAATGAATATGCATTCAAAATGCAAAATTATGATTGATATTACATGCAGTACGTAACATTAATCAGCTGTACATTGAAATTGAGAAAGATTAATACACTGGAAACCGCGTTACAATAATTACCATTCCGTGAATTTAATACAACCAATATTATGATCTGGCCTGAGCAAAAGGCTTGTCATCATTTCCTTAGTGGCTGCAACCTCTTGCAGTATCATCTGACAAGTTCGTTATTGCAGTCAATGGCCACCGCTTGAAGGTTCGTTCCAAAGTTTTTTTTCTTCACAATTTTTCCCCTTTGATTCAAGGTAAAAAAAGGTAAAGACGCACACGAGCCAGAGGTCCAAAAGGCCGGTGCTTATTGCGATTTCCTTGGCATGAAAGCCAACATCAACACTTACTTCTCACTTAGGGCAAAATATTGGCTTATGGGAGGGGTAGGTGGGTAGTTTCCCAGAAACGTATAATAATCCGCATGAAGTAGGCCTAGGAGTGTGGCTACTCCCCTCTGGACTGGATGCTAGTCCATTGATCATCACAGGGTTACCCTCCAGCAGTATGTCGCCGGTACCCATTTACACCCGGGTGAAGACAGACGGGCGAGGCATGAGCCCCAGACCTCCAGATCCGGAGTTCGCGGTGTTAAACGCTCGGCCACACACGTCTTCTCTTTGAAACAAACAGTTAATTCAACTCTGGGTGAGAATGAGTAAATCGATAAATCTCACTGACATTTTGAGCGACTTGAAGCGATATCTGCATATCTTCAAACAGATTAATAATCAGCATTTCTTATCACATCATAGCTGTACGCATTAGATCGTATATTTGAATGCTATTTTGCGCCTAATAAATAATAAATTATTATTATATAGCTCAAAAGGGAACTAATACCCTAATGAGACACTCCGATTTTGGGTGTTTCTTGGTGTTACGGAAACTATTGTTTGTTAGCTTTTGTGTTGTGGTGTGGGTATTGTTCAGTGTCTTTTTAATCTTTTGTATTACGTCATTGGTGTCCGCAACACCAAGAAACCACCCCGATTTTTAACCTCGCCAAGAAGACAAGATTTTCATCTGGCTTTAAACCGCACTGAAGGAGAGTTTCCACAGAGTATATGATTCCCGCCATATTGGCGGCCATCACTGTAGGTCTCGTCATTATAGGCTCTCTACTATACACCATAATCATTGGATGCAAATTTGTCTTACTTTTTATTGGCAGAGAGCCAACCACGTGACCTGAAAGTAACTGCCCCAAATAATGGCCTGCTAATGCCCAATGTCGTCCAACTGCGTGGCTGTAAACAATATTCTGCTCATGCGTAAATGAAACCACGCTTTTCTCCTCGTTGTGATTGCCCTCTATTTTCACTGTATAACTAGTAAGGTATTACGTTTATACTCGCATCCATTCACAACTCTCTAAATTTAATTGATGTACATTACATTTGGACAAGAACTAATAATCACATAGAGTTAGCCAAGCCTAAAAGCGAAGCTTCCGTAAGTCTGTTGTTCAACAACTTAACCCTATAAGTTCCAAAAGGGAACAAAATCAATTCTCTCCTAAAAATGTCAATGCACTGATCACTCTAAGGGTTTAAAGGGTTAAGGGTTAAATAAACTATCTTAGGTAATCTAGGAGTGTTGATCACAACTTGGTCTCAAAAGACTCATTTTCAAACGCCAAGTGTGGGTGACTGGGATCCGCTGCCGCAGGTGACGTTGAACCTCTTAGCATGTGTCTTAGCCTAACATCAGTCCAGTTATTTTCCCTTTCTATGTTCGTCCCATCTACAGCCTGACGTCTTGGACAACATGTAACCAAAGATTGCCTATAATCAGGGACTGTTAACGCATAGATTATTGGATTGAACAAAGAGTTGGAATAATTTAGCATGATTACGGCATAATAAACCTTTCGAGGTACAGGGACTTCGAGTACCTCAGTTAAGCAGTCGACAATGACATATGGAAGCCAGCACAACACAGCGGCGGCAGATACAAAAAGTAAGGTTTTTGTTAGGCGTTTGTTTTGTGACACTCTATTGTGTTGTGGAAAAGCGCCGACTCTCTGGTGAAACTTTCTCCAAATACCAATGTTACAGCCACATAGGATGAAGATAAAGATTGAAAATAATATTGTAGAAACATAATAACCCGCCTTGCTGGAAATTAAATTTCCAGTGAGGAGGTAGACTGCGGTAGCAGTAGCAGCGAGTGTCCAGATGATAACTATGACAATAGTGTATGCTCTCGTTGACGTTGTTAGGTGCTTCAGCGGCCAATAGACGGCGAAAAATCTTTCACATGATATAAAGACGGCAGAGATTAACGAGGCCTGCAAGAAAATGAGATCAAAGTGAAGGTAAAAGTAGTGCAGTACAACCCCAACGTCTTCTGTGACGATCCATAGTTGTGGAAAACCAATCCGCAAGTAAACATACAAAGGCAGTGAAACAGCTCCCAACATTACATCAGCGAACGCCATGTTTATGACCAGAAACAAGCTTCTCTTGCGCAGCTTCTTCTCTAGTGCGAAGAGAGCAATTATGAACAAATTCCCCATGAAAATTAAAAAAGCTTCGAATAAAAGAGCGCAACACACTGCTATTGTTTCCGCTCGGGAAGGAAAATCTATCACCATTGACAGCGAGGTGTTGATAGAGCTCATAGCACTTGATGTATTTTTCATTCTGGTGTTTAACCAAAAAGAAAATGAAGTGTTACACGATTGAGTAGAAATCCGCGATATTATGTTGCGTGAATAAGCTACCCTAACGACGCCTGAAAGAGAATTTTGAAGTTACAAGCTCTTGCGCAGACTCGGCCCAAAGTTCAGCAAGCTTTGTGTTCAACACAGCCAGCCCTGGATAGACTTGTAAAGAAATAAATCTTATTTCCAAATCAACGCAAACTACTTTTCTTTTATATTTATGTTAATTAACCTTCTTTGCTTTCATTGCACCTGCAAAATTCACAAGAAATCTTAGTTAAAACTGAGTCGGGGGCCAATTATTGCTAATTTTCGTAAGGACCATAAAAGGAATAAATTAAGGAACTTGTCGTCATTTTGGAATTAGCAAAGGATTGTTATTTTTTCCCTTTTTTTTATTCAACTGATATTTTTGTATACAAGAGAAGCGTCTTAAACTTGGCAAATTTATCGCTTGAAGCATTTATAAACAAAATACTTAAGATTTTTGAGAGGACGATGAAATGTAAAGTGACAAATGTATATGGAAGTAAGTCATATATGAGAACTGCGGAAATGAAATCATGTGAAGAATGTTCCTTGCAGTTGTGAACGCAATGTATCCCTGAAAAAAAAAAAAAAGAAAAAACGGGATTTCGTTGAAGTCCTGAATTTTTTTCAGACTTCTTACGCAATTACATAGATTGACTTTACAACTGCGAGGATTATTCTTTACTTGAATGAAATGTAAATCATTGAAATGATGTCCGCTTATTTGCTTTTCAGACAGAACAAAAAAATCTTTCGATACATTAATTTCAGACACACTACCAACAGCGTTTTTTTTATCGGTTGGTAATGTTCTTGCTAGTGTCAGAACCAAAATGAAAAACAAAAAAAAAAAAAGAAAAGAAAACATAAGATGCTCTTTTCATGGTTTACAATTCTATTCATGGCTCGATTCATGGATCTTTGGTGAAATAAAAGTCAAATCTCTGAAATGAGATACTGGAATATATTTTTAGTGTTTGTGTCAATTCATTGTGTCACGTGATCCATTGTCACCAAAAAAAACTGACCGGATTTTAATAATGGTCAAACGTGTTCTGTTGTTTTCAAACCAAAAAAAACTGCTGTTTGACAAAGGCAATTATTAAGGAGATGGGAAAATGGGATTTCCCCGAGAGAAAAACCTTTCGGAGAAGAGGAGAGAAAAAAAGTCAACTAGTAAATTAGCAAAAAGAAATCAAGAATAAACTGTGAGTTTCCAGTCACTGAAAGACATCTGTTTTTGAAATGTTACCACCAGATCTAGTTTTTGTATCGTCGGGGAGGGGAAGGAAAGGCCTTTGCAGTTTGGCTGATCGGATTACAACGTAGTGTCATTAGATTCGTGTTCGAAGTTCTCCTGTGTGTCACTAGAATCATTTGGTTCTGTTCTTGACTGTACCACCGTATTCAAATCGACAGTAGAGACATCTCTTCCTTCTTCGCCTTCGCTGTTTATCCCATCTGCAGCCTGACGTCTTGAACAACACATAATTAAGGATTGTCGAGACAGGTATTGTTGATACGTAAATGATTGGACTGGCAAAAAAGTTGAAATTAAGAATATACGTACAATATAAACATGTTACAGGAAAAGGGATCTTGTGTGCCACAACAGCATAAGGAACTAACGAGAACACAGAGGCAGCAGACACGAATAGCAAGGTTTTTGTCAGGCCTTGGTTTGGGTATGTTCTGTTTTGCTGATGAATAGCACTGCCCCTCTGTTGAAACTTTCTCCAAATAACAATGTTACAGTAACATAAGACGGAAAAAAAGATGTAAATCAATATTGCAAAGTAGTACACCTGTCTTTGTTGAAATTAAATTTGAGCAAACAAGAACAGCAAGTGTGCAAAATGGCATATGCTCTCACTGACCGTGAGCGTTCGGTGTTTTAATTAAAAAAGCCTCAATCACGAAAGCGCTGCAGGTTGCTATTTTCTCTGCTCTGGAAGGAAAATTTATCTTGGAAGATGAAGAGGGATAAGTATTGATGACACTTGCGTTAGAAGATATATTCTTCATTCTGAAGTTTATGAAAGCGCAAGTGTAGATTTTGTGATAATCAATGCAAGAGAAAGAATTACCCGAACGATGTAAGGAAGTCAGGGATGTGTTCTGATCTTTTGTCAGACTCTAGTAATTGGTAACGTTTGCTGTCCAAATGAATAACACTGAGTATCTCTGTCTTTTGGAGCGGGTGCAAAATGCTGTGAGAGATTTCTATTGGGAAGAGATCTTTATCTGCGGTCCATTCTATTAAAAGTTTTAATACTCGCTGTTGGACATCTGGCAATATTCACTCATACTCTAGCCATCTTTTGGCAGTGTCAGAAAGGGAATCCTAACGCAAAAAAATCAAAAAATAAGATACTCTTGCAGATTTAATAAGATGATGGAAAATATTTTCAGTAAGTGTGTCTATCATTTTATCACGTGATCCATTTTCACCAAAAGAAACATCTAGATGATTGTAACAGGAGTTTTAATAACGGTCAAATGTGTTCTGTTTACGCTGTCAAATTTAAATTTACCAATGCTAAGGAAGAGACTGTTTTCATAACTTAAAGAATTCAATCCGGATGTCACAGGTGGCCGAAGCTTCTAGGAGCCGTCAACATGAATATGACATTAGTAACGATCGTACATATGGGATGTCACCCTTAACAGATTTAATCCTGATAAATTTTCCTTATTCCCTTTAGAAGTTAAAATTGATCTGAGTGTAACGCAAAAAACCAATAACGCGTAGAACGTAAATAACTTACTATAGAAAACTAAATTAGTCAAGTAACACAACGTGAGAATTTTGGAGCGTCGTTTAAGTTTCGTGCATGGAGTAACAGCTTCTAGGGCATTACTAAGGCCCGGTTCAGACGCCGATCTTTTCACGAGCCGAACCTAAAACATTGAATTAAGTACATGAAAAGTTCGACGTCTGAATCAATTAGGAGCGCCTATTTCGATTTGGAACCCTTACGGCTCAGCCGTTCTTTACTCCCAGCCCAAACGGGATTTTTTCGACTGTGGAACGGTTTTGGAACGGCTTTGATTCAGACGCCGAACTTTTCATGTACCAAACCTAATGCATAAGTTATAGTAACAGTGTTACTAGCAACTACAACGTCCCTTAGTTTATTCACGGTTTCTTGGATCTAGTTGTGGGTGGGGAAAGGAAGGCCTTTTTTGCAGTTTTGGTTGATCACAATTTAGTGTCCGTAGACTCGTGTTCAAAGTTCCGCTCTGTGTAACTAGGATCAGTTGGTAATGTTCTCTGTTCTATCAAATCAATAGTACCCGTATCTTGTTCGTCTTTGCCTTTCCTGTCCATCCTATCTACAGCCCGACGTCTTGAGTACAGTGTAACTAGCGATTGTCTAAATTCAGGGATTTTCAATGCGTAGATGATTGGATTGACAAAGGAGCTGGAATAGGTAAGAATATAGAAACAATGAAAAATTATTATAGGAACAGAGACCATATGTGCCGCCGTCATATTTAGAATAATGGCGTGAGGAAGCCAGGAGAAGACAGCGGCAGCAGACACAACCAGCAAGGTCTTTGTCAGGCGTCGGGCTTGGCGCGCTCTGTTTTGCTGATGAATAGCATTCCTTGGCGCATTGTTTCTCTGTTGAAACTTCCACCAAATACAATATTGCAGCAACATAAGACGAGCAAAAAAATCGAAATTAATATTGTCATAAGATAAACACCTGTTTTTGTTGGAAGAAAGTCTCTAACTAGTTTGAAGAATGCACTAACGATAAAAGCCAGTGTCCAAATTAAAGTAATGACAATGGCGTATGCTCTTGTTGACAGTGTTAGGTGTTTTAGTGGCCAGTAAACGGTGTATAATCTTTCACAAGATATAAACACTGCAGAAATTAAGGACGCCTGCAAGAAAATGAGATCTATCCAAAGGAAAAACACCTCCAGCGGGTCCAAAACACCTTTTCTCCATAGTGGTGGCCGAAAACCGACTCGCAAGTAAATGTACAAGGGCAACGACACAGCTCCTAACATCACATCAGCGAACGCCATGTTTATAACCAGAAGCAAACTTTTCTTGCGTAACTTCTTTTCAAGTACGAAGAGAAAAATTGTAAGCGAGTTTCCGCCGGCAATTAAGACAGCTTCAATCACGATAGCGCTGCAGATTGCTATCTCCTCTGTTCGGGAAGGAAGATGCATCGTAGTTGACGAAGAGGTGTTGGTAAAGCTGGCGATAGTTAATGTATTGTTCATCTCGGAATTGATGATGGTGTTTGGGTAGATTTTGTGGCAATCGATACACCAAAAAGAATCACCGGCACAATTTACGGAAAATAATTTTTTTTTATTAGATTCGCTAATTCCTGGCAGGGCCACGGCAACAGCGTGACGCTAATTACTGCGGTCCCGTCACCGTCCGTCCCCGCATGAGCGATAGACCACTACACCGGGGACTACGTGCCCTACTCTTAACCAACTGTGTGTGGATTTTTTGACGCCCCAGAGAATTTGCATGTGCAAGGGTTGCCGTGATACGGGCTTACGGTGTTCTGTCCTTATCCGAGAAGACTAGAAAGTCTAGCCAAATGCAGATGTCTTTACAAAGGCAGGACTTTTAAGACCCCGAGTGCTGGTCCGGCCGGGGTTTGAACCAGTGGCCCCCCACTCGGCAGACCGGCGCTTATCAAACTGAGCTAACTGGGCGGCGGTTAATTCTGACTTGGAGAGCTTCTAATCACTTGTGTAAAAAACGTTGAGGGGTGCGCAAAATTTATAAAAACAATTTATTTGTCCGTTCGCTGTCCAAATAAATAAGTAACCATATCCCTCGGAGCAGCTGGAGAACGCTTTGGGAGATTTTTTCACGCTACCAAGAAAACTCAGTAACTTTGGCAGAAATCGATCCCTGGCCACTATAATGTCAGGTATATATTTGCTCAAACTTCGTACCTCACAAGCGACAAACCTAATAATAAATTAATATAATAGCTAATAATAATAACAGACCTTGTCACGGTTTTCGACGCCACCTTGACGAGTAGGCAAACGCGTGAGAAATTACAGTGTTTGTATGAGAATCTAATGTCGAATAATTTCCGTAAAACGGCTCTTCTGAAAAAAGAAAAATGATTTGTAAACTAAAGTTTCGCTCCTAAGGATTCTACTGAAAAAAATTAAGGGCGTTACATGCACTAGAAGACCTAGAACCACTTTTTAAAATTTTCTATACATTGGTCTGTAAGAAAGTCCAGGGAAAATTACAGACAAATATATGGAAATCTAAAGCAAGCCTCTGGAGAAATTTAAGCACAGGTACGCCCCCAAAATTGTTTAGGACAGTCCTATGCTTTGTAGCTTTAGTTTACAATTGATATTTTTTTCAGAACAGCCGTTTTGTGGAAATTATTCGACATTAGATTCTCATACAAACACTGTAATTTCTCACACATTTGCCTAAGGTCTATTATTACAATAATTAAAATAATCTTATCCGTGATTTTTACTGTGTTAAATAAAGTAATAATAATCATCATCATCATCAGTAATAACAATTATATTAATAGCGCTTATAAAACCATTTCTAAGCGCTTTACATGAGTTTAAAAATATAAAAAATATGCTCATTTACAGACGAGTATATATGTAGAAATTTAAGCTAATTACAAGAAAGAAAATTGAAAAATCAAATGGCTACAACTCAAAAGCAAGCTTAACAAGGAGCGTCGATAAACTATCAGACAAACGCACAATTCCCAGGCGGCTGAATTGCTGGTAACTCATCTCACCATGAAGGCGCCTGCGGCAAAACACCTGAGACCATAATTTATCATACTGTACTTAACAGGTTTGAGGTTAAAAAAAAAAAAAGAGCGCTGGGTTCTGGCGGGCTGATAAGTCTCTGAAGTTCTTGTAAATGACATGGCGCAGAATCGTGTAAACATTTGGACGTTCTAGTAAATTGACCTTAATAATATTCCAGATTCTATAGGCAGGTTGCAGCTCCTGAAGCACGGGACGGTATAATGTACTCGTATATGCAAATGCTAATAGGCAAAATTCCCGCTATTGTTTGCGCTCCTTCAGCATTAGAAATATGCTCGTAGCGTGTGAGGATCGATGATTGACCCGGGCCTAACAATGTGAAAACCACAGTCATTCAACGATCCATTCGTGAAATAAATAATCAATACATTAACAAAATTGAACCTCGTATCAATACTCAAATGTTGACTGGGTTGTTAAATAAAACGTTACCTGTATTTCTCAGGATAAAGAAGTTTCATAGACCGCCATGCATGAGTGGGTGAGCCGAGTTACAGCGACTCTGTCGCGATGTGATCGAAGAAAGCGCAGTTCCATAACGTCGGTAATGGAGGACAATTCTGCATGATTAACTTTGAATGACTTGATATTTCATTTGCACTGAAACCCTGACAGTCAAACTCAAAAATGTCTGCTCGGAAAGCTCCAGACGTCCGAATCCATTGTCCGCCATGAATTTTTAATTTTTTTTTTACCGAGGAAGAGCTGGTGCTTAGTATTCCTTATATGGCAAAGCTTCACTCGTATGTTTTGATTGTTCTTTTGTCCTATAAATAGATTATGCGTTGATTATGCGTTGATTATGCGTATATCAAATGCACGGGAATAACACCGTTCAGGGCAAGCGCTAGCTCTACCCTCGCTGGGTGCCTGTTTATTTTTCCCTTACTTTATTGCTAATAGTTCTAAGTGAGAGACCGTGAACACGGTTAGACATCCTAGGAAATTTCGAGAACGGACCCTAAGAGCTAGGCTTGAAGCAAGCACAAGAACCAAAACCAAAGTCAAAGCATTTTAAAAAAATTATCAAAGAAGTAAAGTACAAACCTGAAGCCGTAAACGCTTATATATAATTTTAATTTACAATTTTTTAGCAATTAAAAGTGCTTTGAGCTTCGTAGTAGTGCAGTACATAGTTGCAACTTCTGATCACAATTTGGTGTCCATGAATTCATGTTCAAACTTCTGCTGTGTGTCACTAGGATCGGTTAATGATCTAAGCTGCTTCACCTTAGATAAATCAAAAGCAACAGTATCTGTTCGTCTTTTTTTGTTTTTGGTGTTCACCCCATTTATAGCACGACGTCTTAAACACCACATAATCGATGATTGTCGAAATTCAGGTACTTTAAATGCGCAGATTATTGAATTGACAAAAGAGTTAGAATATTGAAGAAAGATTGTGGTATAATTAACCTGCCATGCTGGAAAGATCTTGTGAATATTCAATAAATACGTACTCGACAATTACATAAGGAAGCCACGCCAAAACAGCAGCAGCAGACACGAACAGCAATGTTCTTGTCAAGCGTTGGTTTTGGGCGATTCCGTTTTGTTGGTGAGAGGAGATGGTTCTCATTTTACATTTTCTCCAAATACAAAAGTTACAGACACATATACATTTTCTCACGTAAAGCCGGATATTTTTAGGATTTGTCTGCGATATAAAGTGAAGCAACTTTCTTGAGTAATATTTATATCCCACAAATCGCCAAAAAGCTGGAAAGAGACATTTCTCGAGTTTTTTCGACTTTTTGCCTTTTACTTCAAAATAAAAAAGTCGACTTTTTTCCTCTTTCTTTGTTTGGTCTTTTTGGGCGGACAGTTGTCAAATAAAGGCGGGAATCTCAATCTTCAGTCCTCTCAACTGACAGCTGTCAAAAATGACAGGTAATTGTGAGCAGTGAATTGTGACGTTAATTTACAGTTGTTCATATGTAGGCACACTTTGTGTTCCGGCAATGTTTCAAGATGTCGGACGTTTACGTCAAGATTAAGATGGGCGAGAAATAAAAAAGGGGTAAAACTTAAGTCTTTAACTCTAAACAACGGTACTCTGGCCATGGTATCTAGGTTCTTCCTAAACCAGGAGGTCTACGTACATTTCCTTCAAAGAAGGGGAGAAAATTCTCGCATACTGGGTTTTAGCACGTCGATGACTTTGTGAAGACGTACTCAGTTAACGGAGAACGAATGACTGCCGACTCAGTTAGCTCAGTAGTGCCCGCAGTACAGTCTACAGGGCTTGAGGTACCTCTTTCCTTCCAAAGGACGGCCACACGAACAAATCTCAACCCCCGCCTGGACAGAGTGCGGTGGCCATGCAAAAACGACCGACCTTTACCACCACCAAGAAGGGTCTAAGAGACGCGGCAGAAATCGCTCATGCTGTGGACGTGTCGCCGTCTCGCGAAATTGGAGAAAAGTTCCAGGTGCACCTTGTCGCTGACCGAAGAAACTTCGTTGGTCGATGAAGTATTTACATCCAGAAGAATCACTTCAAAGCCTAATTGTTGTTTTAGTAGCCTCTGTCCTTCATCGACCGACGAAGTTTCTTCGGTCAGCGACATGTTCACCTGAAACTTTTCTCTGATTTAGCCAGACGGCAAAATGTTGAGAACGGACCTCTGGAGCCAGGGTTAAAGCAAGCACACGACCTAAGAACAAAGCCAAAGCATTAATTATCAAAAGAAGTAAAGTAGAAACTTGCAGCCGTATTAAACACTTATATGTAATTTTTACAATTTTTTTTATTAGCGATGAAAACTGTGTTTGAACTTCTTAATACAGTATATAGTTGCAACTTCTGATCGCAATTTGGTGTCCATAGATTCGTGTTCAAATTTTTGCTGTTCCCCTGTTTTGCTGGTGAGAGGAAATCTTTTTTTTAAACATTTTCTTCAAATACTAATGTTACGGAAACATATGATCAACAAAAAAATCGAATTGTAGAAAGATAATAAGCTGCTATGAATGAAATTAAGTTTGCAAGAACAAAGCACATCGCGCTGGCAAGAATAACCATTGTCCAGATTACACTTATTATAACAATGGCGTATGCCCTTGTTGACAAAATTTGTACGGTGTTTAAGTGGCCGATAGAGGGCGTAAAATCTTTCACAAGATATAAAAACTGCAGAACTTGAATTAACGAAGCCTGCAAGAAAATGATATCGAAGTGTTGGTAAAAGTAGTTCAACACTACCCCATAGCTGATACTCCATAGCTGTGAACCGACCATTGTTTAGATATTACATCCGCGAATGCCATGTTTATAACTGGAGACATTAGCTTTTTCGCCTGCAAAGCTCCTTCTCTATTGGGAGGAAAACAGTTGTGACAAAGTTTCCCGTGACAATGGAGAGGGCTTCAAATAAAAGACCGCTGCACACCGCTATTTGTTCCGCTCGAGAAGGAAAATCCATTACTGGTGATAATAGAGAAGTGTTATTGCTGTTGGAGCTCTCGGAAGTTGACATATTTTCCCTTTTAGTGCTAACTGAATCAGTTGTTGTCTTTGGTTGCAATTTATTAATAACCCACGAGTTAAGATTTGTAAAAAAATGCGGTCTTACGTAAAAGACTTGCAAGCGTCAGCGCGGAATGTATCTAATAAGCGGCTTGTTGAAGAAAAACTGTTGACAAAGCGTTTTGTTTGACTTAAATTCTGCTTTTTATGCACGCCTGCTGCTGACCCAATCAGCAACTTTGTCACTCGCCAGGTGTAATACTCCTAGGGGGGTTTTATAATATTATTTCAGATGGATAAATGACCTGCCATTCAGCAAGTACACGAAAGAATTTGAACTTCAACTGTATTTTCTTTTATTATTTTATTGTTACCATTTTTTAAAGAGTGTTCATTACGTCGGCAGTTCAGTTGAGTGAGCCGTTCGGAAGTCCATTAAAACTTGTGTAATACAGGTTTTATGTACAAACGTTTTCATGTGGAAATTGCATCACGTTACTCTTAAATTATCAAAACTTAGTAGAAGATAGCTGTTGTTGCCGTCAGATAGGTTATCACTAAAAATTGCATGAGAACGGACTGTTACATTACGAGAAATTGACCTGCTGCTTATGTTTAACAACTAAGAAAAGCTAATTACTGAACAGCGGAAGGCCGTATGAGATTAACAAAAATAATACATTACATGATCGAAACTCTTGCAAGGTGTAGTTTGGTGTACAGTCGACTCCCGATAACTTGAACCTTCTAGAAAAAAATCGAAGAAAGTTCCAGTTCGGGAGTTCGAAGCAAAAAACAGAAAATAAGCAAATAAGCAAATGGGATGGGGATGGAAATGCAAGTATCAAGCACTCTTCACCAGTTTTTTAAAGACCCTGGTTGATGGTCCGGCCCGGGTTTGAACTCCCGAACTCCCGCTCAGCAGACCGACGCTCTTCCAACTCAGTTGACCGGGCGGCGGTTCAAAGAGCGTATCCTGACACCCATGTAACAGGGACGGGTGTGCGATTGGCCAATCGAACAATGCCTTCTCCATATTAGGGTTTTCTTTGGCGGGAAAACGAAGAGGTCATGTTTTGATCTTTTCATCCGTCGTCTGATAAAACAAGCAACGAACACTTACCGAAACCATTTATCAAGGTCATTCGAAAATCACTTTATCTGCAGGGTTTTCGACAGGTTTGTAAAGTAGCGGACATATTTCTGAGAGCACTGGACGCTAAAGTTTTTGGCTCTGCAAGGCGCTTTGCAAGTGTCGAGGACGCGAGCTCCCTAGGGGAGTCTGGGGGCATGCTTCCCCTGGAAAATTTTAACAGATTACTCAGAAACGCTGTTTCGAGCGTTTCTGGAACCCAAGAATCAGTTTCTCAGGCAAGGCTGGAGTTCAATCAAATTCTGCGAAATGAAAAATCTTCTAATTCCGTGAGGCGCATTTTGCTCGTCTCTTACATGTATGAGTTTAAGAACTCCAATTTTCAAAAGATTAGTTGATCGCTTTCGAGATCGCACGTGTTACTATTTTTGTCTTGAAATGCTGTCTGTCATTTCTTTTTTCTTTAAAACTCCAAAAGGTTTAAAAGTCGCATTTTGGTAGTTGATAAGGGAAATATAAGCGTAACCTTGTAAATAGCGACCACATTAGTAAAGGGCCGCCACGAGACATTGTTTTGGTATTTTTTGGAAAGGAGAAACTGCTCACCGTCAATAGAATGTAACACCGCATTCAGACTCATCATGCCCGTAGGCCTAACCTTACCTTGTTTTCTCTTGGCCTTCGGGGAAAAATTGGTTTATTCTCTTTTATTTCCCTAACAGGAGATGAACAGAGTTCGACCAGCACGTGTAGCATGTTTTGCCTGGGTGTTAGTTTCCCTTTAGACCGAACGGGAATCATAACGAAATTGTCTCTCCAATTTCGTTTGAAGACTAGACACCAGAAGGTGTATACTGGGCTGCCATAAAACCTAGACTAAATAGAATTATTAAAAACTGAATCATTGGATAATGCAATTCTAGCATTTTGATTGGCTTAGCCGTTATGGTATGTTTAACAATTATTCCACGAGGGCGCGTTGGATATGAGATGATAGATAGCCAACGAGGCGCATAGCGCCGAGTTGGCTATAATCATTTCATATCCAACAATCCCGAGTGGAATAATTGTTTTATTAAAAACGCCCACAAAATCTCGTTGAATCGCCCCGACTAGAACAAACCGGAAAAGACAAGGGACTTCCGCTATTGACATGTCACACGTCTATCAAAACTGTCAACGCGCGAACGGACTCGCCTAGACTGCATGAATGAAAAATCAAAACGTTGTGCGATGAACATTAGTTTTCATCGTGATTCTAGGATTTTACACAGCAGAACAGCTTAAAAAACCTGGCAGATAATGGGAAGGAAAATAATTTTTAAGTGACAGCCGTCGAAATTACTATGAATTTGGATTTTCGGTGCAGTTATAAAAGCAAGAACAACGGAGAAAAACTACCGGTATTACCTCGGTCGCTTGTTATGAAGTTGTTTGAAGCCACAAGCTGGTTTTGCTGACCGAGAAAAGAAGCTATACTGCCGCCTCGATTGCTGTAGTGAATGGCTGCATAGCCTGTATTTGTAGCTGGTTACTCGTGATTTATATTCTTGATGTCGGATAAACAAGCTGCAGTTATCTATCGGCGAGTGACTCGATCGACGAATGGCTTCGCGATCATGAAGAAACAACACTTGTCTTCTTTCGTAGCTGGTCAAGGTACTTTAGTTCCGTGTGTTTTCATGTGTTTTTCGACAAACTTTCAAACAAGCTCTTGTGGCTTTTTTGTTTGTTTTTGTCTTTTTCTTTCGATGAAATTGCATTTCTAGTATTCTAAGAAATGTATTAAAACAATTTGCTTCTGGCGCCGTTCTATCCTTCGCGAAAAAAAATCTCAGCTAGCTTCCAATTTTAAACTGACGCGTACACCGACCATATATGGAGAGCATGGTATAATAGCTCTTATTAAAAACTGAATCATTGGATAATGCAATTCTAACATTTTGATTGGCTTAGCCGTTATGGTATATGAGCTAATATACCATGTTCTCCATATATGGTCGGTGTACGCGTCAGTTTAAAATTGGAAGCTAGCTGAGATTTTTTTTCGCGAAGGATAGAACGGCGCCCGAAGCAAATCGTTTTAATTCATTTCTTAGAATACTAGAAATGCAATTTCATCGAAAGAAAAAGACAAAAACAAACAAAAAAGCCACAAGAGCTTGTTTGAAAGTTTGTCGAAAAACACATGAAAACACACGAACTAAAGTACCTTGACCAGCTACGAAAGAAGACAAGTGTTGTTTCTTCATGATCGCGAAGCCATTCGCCGATCGAGTCACTCGCCGATAGATAACTGCGGCTTGTTTATCCGACATCAAGAATATAAATCACAAGTAACCAGCTAAAAATACAGGCTATGCAGCCATTCACTGGAGCAATCGAGGCGGCAGTATAGGATCACGCGTCACAGTGAATTTATAATTCCAGATCATGACTGTATTTCATGAGTTTTCCCGATTCACGCTCTGTGTAACTGTCAATTCACGGATCACGTAGCCTGCGAGCAAGCTCTCCTATTTGGGCGAGCGAAGCGAGCCGCGTGAGAAAGCGCGAGCGAGCGGCGAAGCCGCGAGGGACCGGCAAAAGGCCCCTTTCTACTCCCCGCCCTCCGCAGTCCCGTCTCCTCTCGCGAGCCTCTCGCGCGTGTACTTTTCACGACTCGCAGGCTATAGATCACGCGAAACCCCTTCCAGCAGCAGACAATCTTCTCAATTTGGACCCGACTATCTTGGAGCCTGGAACAGGCTAGCGCTCTACGATCTCTAAAGAGAAAATAGAGGGTATGTGAACAGGCTATAAAGCTGTGATGGTGCAGAGAGATACGTTTAAAATAGAGAACTGACACAAAAGGTAACAAAAGGGTCAAAGATATTGTGTGATCTGAGGTCAAATCACCCTTAGCTACTGTAGCTATGACCCAAATATTCTGACAAAATTCCCAGCGGGATAAATTAATGTTATACCCACACCCACCGACGCGCATTTCTGGGAACTTACCCGTATTAAATTTCGCTTGATGTTTCGCGCATTACACTGTTGTGGACTTTACACTCATGTATCATAGAGCAGCGTAGCGCTAACATATTTCTTCCAATAACATCACGTGTCGGAAAACCGGCCAGTAGGGAAATGCAAAATGGCCTCTGCAGGCAAAGCGAAAAGCATCGATAACATGAACATGGTGGAGATATGTGGAATGATGCTGGCTCTTGGATTATCGTGCGACAAACTAACGACGCTTGACGAGATGAGGTCTCGATTGAGAACAAAGTTGAACCAGGCAGAGAAAACAACTAGCTGGTCAGCAGGACAAGTACGTTATTTTGTAGTAAATTTAAAATTTGAGAACGAAAAAATTTTGGCCTGTTTTCAATAGCTCATTACAGGAGCGCCATATTTGTGTGGTGCGAGGGCAAGCCGTTCGCGGTTATTGCCTACAGAACAGGCTGTACATTTATAATAGTTTTAATTTCATTTCATTCATTTATTTTATTTATGTACCACCCCACAAGAAGTACAGCTTTTTCCTTTCGATCGTGAGAAATTAATATGAGGCTTTGCTCAGGGGCACCAAACGACTGTTTTCTGTAAAATCATGATCTGTTCGGAGAAGCAAAAATTACCTAGAATTGTCTATAGCTTGAGGAAGGCTAAAAATTTCTAGATGACCGTTCCATTTATGTACAATCTTCGTAATATATGTAATAAATTCCCCACGATTTTCTAAAGTTTAATTTTTCGCATTTCAGTACCCAAGTCAGCCTATTCTTCGCAGAAAAAGGAAACCTAAAATATTCGGATTCAAAAATGCGATGGAGAGAAGAATCAGAAATATTCTCACTTTCGTAAAACTTAAAATTGCATCTAAAATTTTCGGGAAAATAATACTGAAGCCCTTGTAATTTCGAAAAGACTCAAGTTGCCCTACGACGACCGAACAGATACAAATTTTAGAGCGCCGCTTAGAATGCAATTCCAAAGATCTGAAAGTACCCTGGATAGCCTAAAAAGTGTTTTTAATGCATTTACAAGGAAACCGTCGTTGGGTGCCCCTGTTTGCTGAAGCACTGAGCATTTGGGGCACAAATTATATGTGCCTTCATCGAGAGTGTTATGGAACAATTCTCGTTTAGGTTGCACTTTTTTTTCAAGGATATAGAAACCTTCTTAGAAATATTTAATTTCCTCATCATGTAATAAGCAAGAAATAAGGCTCCAAGAAATCGTATTTAAAACCGACAGTCCTCCGCTACGAAGAGTCTACGAATGCTTCCATTTTCACTGATTACAGGACAAAAGGTCAGTGTCCCAAACACAGCTGAATCTTTTAGTTAACGTTGCACTTCTTCGTCCAATTACTACGATCTAAATTAACGTTTAGAATGCAAAGTAACGGAAAACGAAGGCCAGCTATTCATGGGGATTCACCCTTGGCGGTCTCTGAGTTTGACCGCTCGTGACTAATGAAGTTACTAGCCGCCGCGCACTATCGAAGGAGCCCTCGAATGATATCTCACTAGAGATTACAATTGAAAATGAAAGTGAAGTGCTGCGAGTAGATACTGGGCATTACAGAGATTCCAACCCTTCCGTTTCAACCAGAAACCTTCTGTTTTGCGAATCAGTATTTCCGGCCACCTGCTTTCGCTTAATATTCTCCCAGTTTTTGAAACTCTTCCTAGTCAAAGAAATATAATATTTTCTTTGTTTAACCAGTCGTTTTTAGCACGATTCTTTGGCGTTTTTCTGTAGTTTCTCAGGCATTTTTACCCTTTTGGCATCAGAGCATCACAGGTAGCCCAAGCTCGAAATATGAGCATCGTCGAGCATCGGCATTGTTGCGTAACATTCAAAATATAAGGATTTCTATGGGAAAAATACCTATCGTTTCTGTAACCTACGTAAATGAAAGTATTTCAATGAAAAACAGCTTACCTTTCTTAAAATGTGTGTTACGTCTCTCCTGTGTGGTCCACGGGCCGATTTATGGCCGTTTTATGGGTCTTTATGTAAACGGTTTTATATATAGAGAGAAAACGGTTTTTGGGCGCGGTAATGCACTGATATGATAGGGACCATTAGGTCTTAGCTTCCACTGCCTGTTAAAAACTTCACTATTTTCCTTTGACTGTGATTTCAAAATACATTGGCGTCTTAGAGGCACATATCCGGGGGAGCATGCCCCTGGACCCCCCTAGTGGCTCGTGCCTTCGGCGCCTGTCGGCGCGGCTATGTCGTTCCACGAACTTTCCTTTCATACAGTTAACAGGGTTGGAATCTCTGACATTACTTCATCATGAAATAATCAACTGTTATAGAAATAACAAGAAAGAATTCCATTTTTATGTCAGGTTTGTAATTTCAACCATAATAATCTCTAAATAAGCAAGTTACATTTTTGCATAAAACAAGAATCGCCGAAAGGCGATTTTAAAGGTGCTGCCAAGGAGCGATTTTTTCTGGGAGAGGGCGTTGGTACATACTCATGCTACCATAAAACCTTGTCGCCGACCATTGTGTGACATAGAATCTCATGTGAGAGTGAAACATAAACTCTTTGAACATTGTACCCTTTTGGAACATAATGAGTATCATTTTTAAGTCGGGGTTGTCTAGTAACTTCTTAAATTCCACCATTATGAATAAAAACAAGCAAGTTAGCCAAAAAAAGCAGGAAACTATTAGCGTCAACAAAAGCAAATTAAATTTAAGTTTTGTTTATGTCTGATATTGCGTTTAGAACTTTTCTAACTGTCCAAGCGAATATATAATTCTGTTTTTTTTTTGACGTGGCGATTTACAACAACTAACAAGTTTATTCAGTATTACCATTTCAATACATGGTGTTATCGATTGAAATACAACTAGACTCATATAAACTGCATGAGCTCGGGCTTCCGTATAAAATAAGTTCAAACGAACAAACCTCACCTAAGAAATCGCAGTCTTGAAAGGCTACGTATATCGAAATAACAACAGCTTTATGCACAAACATCTGGAAACCATCTTCCATCACTATAATGTATTGGGTTGCAGTAATTGTGTAGCAAGTAGAGGTCATAAAAACAAAGGAACATAAAAGCAATGACGTCAAAGCAAAGAGCAATTACAATAGTTAATCAAAGTACTAGACCTTATCACGGTTTTGGAAGCTATCTTGACGGGTAGGCAGTCGCGTGACTATAACGTATGAGATTGCAGTAATAGTATAGCTTCCGTGTAGTAGAGGCCACAAAAACAAAAGGAAGATAACATTAATGACATCAAAGCAAAGAGCAAGAATATAGTTACACAATAGCTAATTGAAGCACTCTTTTAGACCTTATCATGGTTTTGGAAGCTATCTTGACGGATGGGCAATTGCGTGAGAAATTACAGTGTTGTTTGAGAATCTAACGTCGAATAATTTCCGTAAAACAGCTGTTCTAAAACATATGAATTGAATACTTAAGCTTCACTCCTAAGTATGCCACTGAAAAAATTGAGGGCGGCGTTATCTGCGCTGAACTACTTTTTAACATTTTCTATACATTTATCTTTATTTTTTTTCCTGCCTACTAAAATTTCCCGGGAAAAATTGCAAAGCTGGGCCAGGTTTTTGAAAGGCCGATTAGCGTTAATCCCCGATGAAAATTTTGTTCCGTTTGTATTTTACACTCCTATGCATTGCTTAGGGTAACATGTTATCATTCCTGTATCTTGTAGTTAAGGCTCAACGGTATTTTGTAACCTCGAGTTGCATGTCCTTAGACGAGAAAACTGTGCTTGAAATTTGGCTTA